AAAATAATAAAAAAATGAAATAAAATGAGAGAAGAAAAAGGAGACATAACAACAGATACCACAGAAATACATAGGAAATACAAATAAGACGACAGTATTATAAACAAGTATGTGGCAATAAATTTGAAAATTTAGAGGAAATGGACAAATTTCTGGACACATACAACCAACCAAGATTGAATTATGAAGAAATGAGAAACAAGAACAAAGAAATACTAAGAAGATTGAAGCAGTAGTAAAAAGTCTCTCATCAAAAAAAGCTCATTAACTTCTGGCTTCACTACTGAATTCAAGCAGACAGTTAAAGAATAATTAATACCAATTTCTCTCAGATTCTTCAAAAAAAAATTGAAGAAGAGGCAATACTTCAAAATTATTTTGTATGGCTACCCTGATACCAAAACCAAAGAAGACACACACAAAAAGTCTACAAATCAATGTGTCTGATGAGCGTAGATGCAAAATCCTCAACAAAACACTGGCCAACCAAATCCAACAGCAAGCACATCAAAAAGATTGTGCACCGTGATCAACTGGAATTTATCCCAGGAGTGCAAGGATTGTTCAACATATGCAAACCAATAAATGTGATATATAACATCAATAGAAGGAAGGATAAAAAGCATATAATTATCTCAATAGATGTAGAAAATGCATGTGATAAAATTCAATATGTATTCATGATAAAAACTTTCCACAAATTAGGTATAAAAAATATACCACAATATAATAAAGGTCATATATGACAAACATATAGCTAACATTATACTACTCATGGAAAATATAAGACCACAAATTATAAAACTATAGGAAGAAAACATAAAGTAAATAATTTATGACATTGGTCTGGGCAAGGATTATATGGATAGAACCTCAAACGCTCAGGCAACATAAAAAAAGAGACATATGGGATTGCATCAAAGTATTAAGAACCTGGATAGCAATAAAAAAAAAATAGAGTGAAGGCACAGCCTACAATACAGGAGAAAATATTTGCAAAATATGTATTCATCAAAGAGATAAATTTCTCTCGCTATATAAGAAAGTTAAAAAACTCAATTGCAAAAATTAAATCAATCAAATGTGATTATAAAGTAGACAAAAGACCTGAACAGACATTTCTCTTTTTTGTTTCATCTGCAGTTCCATGCAGTATTTAGACCTTTTTTTAAATTTCAAAATATGAGGGGTGTGAAAATGTTTAGATTCCATATATTAACTTTGCCCCCCACAAATCAGAGCTTCGAGCATGTCCATCCCCCAGATGGTGTGCACCACACCCATTAGGTGTGAAAACACCAATCCCTTCCTCCCTCCATGCTCCTCCCTCCTGCTCCACACGGAATGAATGTTATTACTATATGTACACGTAAGTGTTCATCAGTTAATACCAGTTTGATGGTTAGTACATGTGGTGCTTGTTTTTTCCATTCTTATGATACTTCACTTAGTAGAATGGTCTCCACCTCTATCCACGATAATACAAGAGGTGCTATATCACCATTGATTTTGTGGATGAGTAGAACTCCATGATATACATATACCACATTTTATTAACCTACCCATGTATTGATGGGCACTCGAGTTGTTCCCACATCTTTGTAATTGTAAATTTTGCTTCTATAAATATTCTAGTGCAAATGTCTTTTTTATAGAATGTCTTTTTTTCCTTTGGGTAGATGCCCAGTAATGGGATTGCTGGATCAAATGGTAGTTCTACTGTTAGCTCTTTGAGGTATCTCCATATTACTTTCCACAGAGGTTATACTAGTTTGCAGTCC